GGCAAGGGTGTTTTATGCTTGGGAAATTGGAGCGTCAGTTAAAAAAAGAAAAAGAAGAAGCTCCTGAACGAGATGGACTGGTGCGTTGACTACAGCTGTAGCATTGCCTGTGCGAGGGATGGTGCAGGACTGAGCAGTGTTCCTGCATAGGGTTCTTATCAGCCAGGGACAGACCCAGAGACACCTGACAATAACTACAAGCCTGTGCTTCTGAGCCTCTTTGGAATGGGGCATCTCTGTTATGTTAATGAAGCATTGTTTGTGAAGGATATAATAAAAGAGATATAAGAAAAGAACAGAAGAAGCAAGGGACTAAGCAAGCACAGATTGGAAGGAGGAGGTCAAGAGGTCGCCAAGGAACCTCAAAACAGAAGATACAGATAGACAAAGACCATGTCTGAGGGCCAACAGAGAAGGAAAGCATCCCGGCTCCAGCTTCCAAAGCAAAGAAATTTCTGTTTGTTAAAGCCACCTACCTTCTTGTGCTGCTTCTGTTATAGAAGCACTAGATAAGCCAGCCAGGGGGAAGAGAAGAGAAGGGGCTTCATAGGGGGCAGGCATGGAAGGAGAAAAGCGCATCACGGAAGCGCACTCTCCTTTCACAGAACTCAGGCGGAGGCTAAGGAGTGAGAAAATCAGTGCAGCTGTGGACCCAGCATCAGTGAGAAGGCAGTCAAAAGAGGCTTTCAAAACTTCGAGGAAATAGCTCATCATTTTTCCAATTCTATTTATCCAAAGGCCTTTTGAAGCACACACATACATGGAAGTCAATGGGGATTTCTTAGGGCTATTGTAGCAAAATTACCACAGACTGATGGCTTTGAAGGCCTGAATTTTATTGTCCCACTGTTGGGGGAGAAGTCCAGATTAGGCCATTGGCTGTAGGGAAGGGCCCCCCCCCCCCCCCCGACCTTGTCACTAGCCCCATGTATTCCTTGGCATTTCTTGTCCCATAGGATCTAGTTCTCTATGTTTGGATCTGCCTCTGGGTCTGTTCTCTTTTGTAAGGAAGCAGTCAGAGGTAGCAAGGTTTAGGACCCATCATTACGACATCATTAACATGCCTTGAGGGCTCATATTTACAGGTTTGGATTCCCTCATTTCTCTTTAGGGGGCAGGGTTATATGCCTAACAGCAAGGCCATTCCTTTTGTTATGTGCTTAACAAATATGTTTGGAGAGGATTCATAGAAGAGATAACACTGAATTTGTGTATTTGGCTACAAGCCCCTTTTTGGTTGCCTCTGCTTCAGGTGTCTGTCACCGGTCCAGTTAGAGTTATACGGTGTAAGAACCTGCTCCCTGGGAACCCTTGGTGAGCAGGGGAAAACGGTGAATGTTTAGGTGTGGTATTTGAGACTATAACCACGAGAAGGACTTGTGTCGAGTGTCCTTAGTTCATTGACTGTGTGTGCGTGAGTGAGTAAATGTGTATTGAAAGAAATCTCTTTGGACTATGTGTGCATGTATTTCCAATTTATACACATTAACTGAGAAATAGAATTTTATGCTCTAAAACTAAAACAAAACCTAACCAAAGTCACTGCCATCGAGTCGATTGAGTCTCATGGGGGAGGATTTCCAAGGCTGTCATCTTTATGTAGAAGCAGACAGCCTCATTGTTCTCCTTTGGAGCAGCTAGTAGGTTTGAACCACCAGCCTTGCAGTTGGCAGCTCACAGTGCCATCAAACACATGTTAATTTTATTTCCAGGTTTATAAAATTCACATAGATTGACAGTACTCTTAAAGGACTAATTTTCATTTTGTGGATTTACTCTTTTAAAATGATAAAGTCTGTTGTTGTTTTGGGGGAGAGGGGCGCGCACAGGTTACACGGTGTTCAAGATTTTGAGACCAAAATAAAATGAGAAACCATTTACATCTTTGCAAGTTAAAACATCACCTTTATACTTGGCTTCTCACAATAGGATGTTGTCTAAACATAGACTTCCTTACAAAGAAACAATACACTTTGTAGTTTCTATGGGAAACATTCTTTAACCCTCCATTCCAAGATAAGAGGCAGGATTTGGTTATATAAACAGGAGAGAGAGAAAGAGATCAGTCAAATGTGGGTTCTGAGCAGCTTAAAGTGCTTTGCGGCATCCTGAAGCCGCTCGTACATATATAGAAACAGAGTCACAGACACATGTATTTAATTTGCCACAGCCCGATGGAGACCATTCCAAATTTCCCTGGGAAAAATTCATTTACTTTAACCATTTTAAACACAGAGGGCCTCTTGAAAAATGAAGGTGACTTATTTAGGGTGTTTGAAATGGAAGAGAAGGGGTTGTTTCCTCCCTTTGGGGGGTGGGGGCACACCAGGATTTTATTCCCACTGGTTGGAAACGGTAATAAGAGGATGACGTGTACTTAGATCTGAGGGCTGCTCTGTTTCTTCCACAGATAGTAACAGGCGATGTGAATAGGGTCAAAGTGGAAACTTAAGTTGCCTTTGTGACAACTTCAAAGTGCGGTCCCGATAACCGATGATTAATTGCTTGTTTTGAGAGTCCCCGCCCCGCAGGCTTCTCTGTATCCTGTTTTGAGGCAAGGAATTGGGTGCTGAGAGTTGGGCGTCTTATCTGGAGTCACAGAGAGGCGTGGGTCTGGATGGGTCAACACAACCCGGCCAGCAGACACAAGCCTTTCCTCACACTGAGGGGCCTTGTTAGTGCAAACAAGCCAGTGGGGATTCCCAGCTCGCTTTCTGGCTGCCGACCTGGGCGCACGATCCCTGGCCTCCTCCTCGAAGGTGCCCCCACCTCCCGGGCCGGTGGCATCTTTTTACCTTCCCGCAAGTCTTTTAGCCTAGGCCACTGCCTCGGGTGCCCCGGGCGGCCGCCCCGACCCGGCCAATCAGACGTGAGTGTTTGCAGCAGGCGCTGGCCAATGCTCAGCCAGCTTTTGCTGGAAACGCGAAACCCTTAGGGGGAAAGCAATAACAAAAGCCTTTCACTGCAGACAAATGTTAAGTGTCTGTGCAGACTTTTCCTGTTTTTAATTTTATTACGGCAAGAATGGAGGGTTTGTTGTTTCTTTCATGTTTCCTTTCATGCTATTTTAATTATACATTCGTGCTACATCAGGGACTTTGGAACGCAGTGATTCAGCCTATTGCATCTAAACCTTCTGGCAATACAGATATATTCCTGGATTGTAAATATAGCTGACATGCTGAAGAATTTTAAGCAGCTGCAAAGGCCTTTGACACCACACACACAGTGCCCCAGAGAGGAGATGATGAGAAAACCAGCTTTGTCTGCCCCCCACCCCCAATCTTCTTCTCTCCCACCCCCTCCCTTTTCCTGAAGGGGTGTGCTCATAAAAAATCCTTTCCTCCAATTGTTGTCTTCTGCAAATTTTGACCAAATGCCTAATTGCCACCGATTCTCATCTCAATGTGAATTTTATACTCAATGGCTTAAAAAAAAAAATTCCTGAGGGAAGTACAATGGAATCAATGATTTGAGGAAATGTTTGCTTTGCCTTCTACTAGCTGTGTGTGCGTGTGTGTGTGTGTGTGTGTGTGTGTGTGAAGCTAAGCTTTTGCAACACTATTGCAACAAGGAGTGGATTCAGCTGTCACATAAGTAATAGCTACATAAACGGTATGGGAATCAGCTTTAAAATCTTTGTTGAGACTTAAAAAAAAACCCTTCCTACCCTAGTCCGTGAGTCCCCACCATTACATATTTTGCCTGGTGTTAAAATGTCCAAGGAAATGAATCTAAACTCGTGAGAGAGCAGTCCCTGTACTCTAAAGAGAGTTGACAGGTCTTCTATAGAATTCAGAATGGCAAATGGTATAAGACAAATAAGCGAGCCGACTAGAAATAGACTTTGAGTTTGAGTACTGTCCCCGCCTGTTTCCCAGAAAGCGTGGGGTTAGGGGTGGGGGGTAGTAAGGGGGTGTCAAAAGAAAAGAAAAACTGACTTAAATATTTCATTTCCTAATGCTGATGCTTTATGTAGGTCCTTTTAATAGATGCCTTAAGGGATTGATTTTTTTTTTTTTAACGTGGCACTTGTACTCTAGAGAAATAAAGAGGATGTTCTATTTTGTTTCTCTGGCATTTGGTATACTAAGTGCACTTTCAGTTTAGTAATTCACAGATGCAGTGCTAAATTAAATTGTCTGTCTGCAAAACAGTTGGGGAAAGCAGAAGACTTGCAGGAAACAAGTGTGTTGGTTTTGAGATTTTTTTTCTCTCTCTAATCCTCTGTGGCAAGTGCTTACTAAGGTTGATGCTAAAGATAACCTCAAGAGCAAATCTATTGTGCACATTTATTTTCTTTAAGAGGTTATTTTAGGAGTCCTCAATATGAAATAAGACCAAACAGTGAAACAGATCCCATGCCAAGGCTGATTCTTGTCTCGCAAGGTCAAGGAGGGATTTGCAATGAAAAATCATAACTGGCCATGTGTTACGTGGACTCTAGCTGAGGCCTCGCCGCTCTCCTCTCTCTTCATTATTTTTCTGCCCCGGCATAATTTTTTAATAAGTGAAAGCCACCATTATTTTATATTACTGAATTGGAAACAAAACTGATTTCTTTCAGTCACCTTCTGGTTGAAGCCTTGGTAACTGGCGCTTGGTTTATGTTGGCTGCTTGCCAAAGGAAAGCAATTATGTGTAATAATAGAAAAATTAAGAGGTGAGAGTTGCTGTTTTACAGCAGGACATGGCAAAACCCATTTCCTTCTGTCAGCAGTGTCTTGATTACACTGTTAGACACAGGCTCCTCACTCACCCTTTTGTGCCCCATGTGTGTGCGCATGCGAGTGTGTGTGTACACACACACAGACACAATTTCCTGTGGGTTTTAACTTGAGGTTACTGAAACCAAAAAGAGGAAGAATGCAAACCACAGCTTTTGAAAGCAAATGAGAATAGAACTTTGCTGGTAAGGGGGGAAAATGATGATGATAAATACACCGGAAGTGGAGTAATAGATACTGATTGTGATCCTTCTTTATTTCCGCCCCTCACAGGTGTCCTAGTGGTCAATGTGACGTGGAGGAATAAGACATACGTGGGGACCCTCCTGGACTGCACCAAGCACGACTGGGCCCCTCCCAGGTAGACACCAGCCTTTCTTTTTTCGGGGCTGTTTTTTGTCCTCCGACCTTCTCCTTCCCCTGGTCCTCCCCCACACTCTCTTTGTAAGGAAACCAGAGAAGAGAGATTAATAATACATAAAAAGTCGGCTTGTAATTGAAACCAGGCGAAAGAGAAATGAGCAATTCCGGACTGAGCACAGTCAAATGCAGATAGACACTGGGTTTCTTTCTGTCAGGAGATCCCCACTCCCCACCTCTCCTCCTGCCTTTGTTCTCTCTCTCTCTCTCCTCCTCTCTCCCCTCTCTCCTCTCTCTCCTTGGGGGGTGGGGTGGGTGGAAAGGAGCCCTGGAGCTGGGTTCGAAGCTAGAGCTCTTTTTGTCGCAGGGCTTCTGAGGAAGACAGTGAGCCTTTGGCATCCTGTTCTTTTGTGGGTGCCCGAGTTCTCAGGGTACCGGCTGCTCTTTGCGGCCTTGAGCCCCCCCCCCCCGAGATTTTGCCCGGTGCCTTTGGGGCTGCCCCTCTTCACCTCGTGTTCCTCGCTCTTCCTAGGTTTTGCGAGTCCCCGACCAGCGACCTGGAGATGCGAGGGGGCCGCGGCCGAGGCAAGCGGGCGAGGGCGGCGGCGGCGGCCCCGGGCTCGGAGGCCAGCTTCGCCGAGTCCCGGGGGCTGCAGAACAAGAACCGAGGGGGTGCCAACGGGAAAGGGAGGCGCGGCAGCCTCAACGCCAGTGGCCGGAGGACACCCCCCAATTGTGCCGCCGAGGACATCAAAGCCAGCCCCTCCTCCACCAACAAAAGGAAAAACAAGCCCCCCATGGAGCTGGACCTGAACTCCAGCTCGGAGGACAAGCCTGGGAAGCGCGTGCGCACCAACTCCCGGAGCACGCCCACCACCCCGCAGGGGAAGCCCGAGGCGGCCTTTTTGGACCAGGGCTGTGCCTCTCCGGTGTTGATCGATTGCCCCCACCCCAACTGCAACAAAAAGTACAAGCACATTAACGGCCTGCGGTACCACCAGGCGCACGCCCACTTGGACCCTGAGAACAAGCTGGAGTTCGAGGCCGACGGCGAGGACAAGATCTCCGACTGCGAGGAAGCGCTGAGCCACGTGGCCCTCGAGTGCAGCAGCGAGGCAAGCACAAGCGGCTCGGCCTACGACCAGGGGAAGGCACCCGGGTCCCCCGGCGCGGGGAACCCCCCCGGCACCCCCAAGGGAAAGAGGGAGCTCCTGAGCAACGGCCCGAGCGCCGTGGCCAGCGCGAAAGCTGGCAAGAATTCGGGCAAAAAGAAGGGCCTGAACCATGAACTGAACAACCTGCCCGTCATCTCCAACATGACGGCCGCCTTGGACGGCTGCGCCGCGGCCGACGGCAGTCTGGCCGCCGAGATGCCCAAACTGGAAGCCGAGGGGTTAATCGACAAGAAGAGCTTGGGAGAGAAAGAGAAGGGCAAAAAGGCCACCAACTGCAAAATGGACAAGAATCTCTCGAAGCTGAAAACGGCGCGGCCCATTGCCCCGGCCCCGGCCCCCACCCCGCCGCAGCTCATCGCCATCCCCACGACGGCCTTTACCACCACCACCACGGGCACCATCCCCGGGCTGCCCTCCCTCACCACCACGGTGGTCCAGGCCACGCCAAAGAGCCCCCCGTTGAAACCCATCCAGCCAAAGCCCACCATTATGGGAGAGCCCATCACGGTCAACCCAGCCCTGGTGTCGCTCAAAGACAAAAAGAAAAAGGAGAAGCGGAAGCTAAAGGACAAGGAAGGGAAAGAGACGGGGAGCCCGAAAGTGGACGCCAAGCTGGGCAAGCTGGAGGACGCCAAGGCGGCTGGGAAAGACGTGCCTGGGCATTTTTTGAAGGACCACCTCAACAAGGGTGAAGGGCTGGCCAACGGGCTGTCAGAGTCTCAAGAGAGCCGCATGGCCAGTATCAAAGCCGAAGCCGATAAGGTGTACACGTTCACAGACAACGCCCCCAGCCCGTCCATCGGGAGCGCGTCGAGGATGGAGTGCAGCGCCGTGGTGAACGGGCAGGCGCCCATGGCCCCGCTGCACGTGTTGACACAAAACGGAGCCGAGGCGTCCGCGGCCAAGACCAACAGCCCCGCCTACTCGGACATCTCGGACGCCGCGGACGACGGCGGATCCGACAGCCGCTCAGAGGGCATGAGGTCCAAAGCCAGTTCTCCGGCAGACGTGATGTCTGCTAAGGACGGTGTTGTCAAAGGGCATGCTTCAGCCGCCGCGCAACCCTCTCAAATGAAAGAGCCGTCCCATTCCCCCTACTACCACGGCTACGACCCGTACTACTCCCCAAGCTACATGCACCCGGGGCAGGTGGGCGCCCCCGCAGCTGGCAGCAGCGGGAGCGCCCAGGGAATGAAGATCAAGAAGGAGTCCGAGGAAGACGCCGAGAAGAAAGACAGGGCCGAGCAGTTAGAGTCTAAGAAAGTGGACCACGCTTCGGCCTCCTTGCAGGCTCAGCACCAGTCGGTGATCACACAAAGACACCCCGCCCTGGCTCAGTCCCTGTATTATGGCCAGTATGCCTACGGGCTCTACGTGGACCAGAAGTCCCTGATGGCCACCAGCCCCGCCTACAGACAGCAGTACGAGAAGTACTATGAGGACCAGAGGCTGGCAGAGCAGAAGATGGCCCAAGCTGCCAGAGGGGACTGCGACAGGAAAAGCGAACTCCCTTTGAAGGAGCTGGGCAAGGAGGACAGTAAGCAGAAAAACTTGCCGTCGGCCACAATCTCAAAAGCTCCCTCTACTCCGGAGCCTAACAAAAACCATTCTAAACTAGGGCCATCAGTGCCTAATAAAACTGAGGAGACAGGTAAATCGCAGCTTCTCTCCAATCACCAGCAGCAGCTTCAGGCCGACAGCTTCAAAGCTAAGCAGATGGAAAACCACCAGCTTATTAAGGAGGCTGTAGAAATGAAGTCTGTCATGGACTCTATGAAGCAGACAGGTGTAGACCCAACCTCGAGATTTAAACAAGTAAGAGTGTGGAGCGTGGCCCCCGCAGGGACAGAGCAGTCTGAGAACTGTACATGTCTGGGCTTGATGTGGTTGAACCTGTTTAAAAAAAAAAAAGGAAATGAGCCAGTACTAGGTTTTTGTTCTCTTTTCTTGGAAAAATGAGAGGCTCAGGAGTTGTGGGCCAGCTTGGTGGTGCTGTGTGGAACAAGGAGTAGTGGGCTTGCGGCTTGGGGACCTGTGCTCTGTGCCGTTAACTGACCCCTGACTCTTGACCGGTCCCTTCATTTTTTTAACTTGAGTCTAAAACCAGACCATTCCTTCAGCCCTATGCCTGCCGAGCTCCCAGCTAGCACGGAGTCCGGTCTCTAAAGGAATGTGGTCTTTGACTTCCCAGGTTTCTACTAGTATCTTTTAGGAATTGTGAACCGGCCCCTGGATCCTCATTTTACCCCCGACTTCCTTTTTAAAAATGAAACCGGGGGCCCAAATGTCTCTCACTTAGCATCCGAGACCTGGAGTTCTGGCGTGCACGCTGTCTGAAATGCCCCGACGCAGAGCTCAAGCACTGAGTGTTTGTGAGGAGAAAGGTGGTCTTGGGGACACAGAGGGAGAGGTAAATGTCGGCAACCATCACAGTAGTCTGTGTGGTTCACCCACCTGGGTTACTGCGCACACCCCTGAGCCCTGGGAGCATTCATCCAGGTGTCTCCGCGCCCTCTCCTGCCTACACACACACAACCCTTCCACCCCTAAATCACCACGCTTAGGTGTCCGAATAACAGAACCTTTTACTTGTTTGCTTGCACACAGTTCTGCCACAGGGGCTTAGCGCCAGCGTTGGACTGTTCACCGTGAGTGGAATGGGGTCATAGAGACCAGTGGCCACTTTTAAAAGACGGAGTCCGTCTACTCCTGGGAGCCTGAGTCTGCCTTTAGCTTCAAGAGGGCTTTATTTTCTTGAAAAAACCAAAAAACTATTATGTGTGCTATTAATGTGAAAGTTTATTCTGATAAGATGTTAGCACGGAATGAAAAGTGAGCTAATATAGTAAAACCTCAACCATAGTAGATGAGGAATATGTATTTAGGAAACCAAGGGGTTCCCCCTGCCCCTCTCTAAATGATGTCAAAAGCTATACTAATGCTTTAAACTTGACGTTTGCGGCTTGAGTGTGAGGTTTGAAAATGCTTTGTGAGGTCTGAAAAGGAAAATCAGGGTTGGATCAATAGGTCTGAGGTGCTATTTAATGTTGAAACATGACCCTAAGGGATGACCTCTGGATTCCAGCAGCCTGGAGTGTGAAGCCCAGCTGCCCAGCTCCCTGATGTGACCCGGGTGTGACTTGAACTTTAAAAGCTTTGTTCCCTTCTGCAAAAGCAACCCATAGTCATACCTGCCTGAGCCGTTGCTGTTGTGTGTGAGAGAGAAGTAAGGCTAGCAGCATAATGCGGAGCACCTAATAAATGTTACCGGTAAAAGTAATTGCAGTATTTTGACACAGTGATTCATGGGTTCTCCTTAAAACCTGAAAAACTTTAAAACAAACCTCTCTGTTGTTGTGTTTTTTTGTCCTTGTTTTTGAAATCAGGACCCAGATTCAAGGACATGGCATCATTACGTATATCAGCCCAAATACCTGGATCAGCAAAAGCCCGAAGAGCTCGATAGAGAGAAAAAACTAAAGGAGGATAGTCCGCGGAAGACGCCTAACAAGGAGAGCGGTGCCCCCGGCCTTCCTGTGTCTTTAACTAGCATCAAAGAGGAGCCCAAAGAGGCCAAGCGCCCCGACTCGCAATCCATGGAAGAAAACAAGCTGAAAAACGATGATCGAAAGACCCCCGTGAACTGGAAGGACTCTCGGGGAACGAGAGTGGCTGTCTCCTCGCCCATGAGTCAGCATCAGTCGTACATACAGTACTTGCATGCTTACCCTTACCCACAGATGTATGACCCCAGCCACCCTGCATACCGCGCTGTCTCTCCTGTCCTAATGCACAGCTACCCCGGTACGTGGATTCTGCTTGCTTTGGAGGGAAGAGGCTAGTTTGGGTTTGGGATGTTAGTGGTTAAAACAAACCTTAGAAAAGTTAGAAGTTTCAAGAGTACCGTTTGTTTGGGCTCCTGGTTTTATGCCGCTTAAAGTTGTGCCAAAGAGAAAAACGGATAAATACGGGTTTGGGTTTGCTTTTTTGTTTTTTTTAAATGAACTGTCAGTTCTCGGCTGTGGTTCCTTTCCGTAGTCTCTGATGGTCTGTTAGGCTGACAGGTACTTTATTGCCTGTGAAACTATTTTCAGCCCTTGCTATCGTAACCATTGCAGTTACTGTTTCACTTAAGCGGATGCGTGAAGGTACCCAATGACCGTAAGCTCGCAAGTGTGGTTACTCGTCCATTCATCAGGATGGCTTAACGGGAAGCTTGCAGCCTAGATACAATTGAACGCTGACGCAGTCCATCCGTAATGTGTGACTCTTTAGTTTTAAGAGTGCCGACTCTTACCCCCAACTCATGTAATCCCGATGACTTCTGTTTCTTTTGTAAAGACGTCGTCCGTGACTTGTTGGCGCATTTGTCGTTTATCCGCAGGGGCCTATCTCTCTCCAGGATTTCATTATCCTGTGTATGGGAAGATGTCCGGGAGAGAAGAGGCAGAGAAAGTCAGTACCAGCCCTAGCATCAACACGAAAGCAACCACTGAATCGAAAGCCCTGGATCTGCTCCAGCAGCATGCCAACCAGTACCGCAGCAAGTCCCCCGCGGTACGCTCGCTTCCTTTCGGGGGAACTTCAGAGTGCCATGTTTGGGGGGGGGGGGTGCGGGCAGTGAAGAAAGAAAGGGACAAACTAGAGAACCGTCTTGAGGTAGAAGCGGTCTGGGATGGTTCCCAACCCAGGTGATTTCAGGATGCTGTTATATCCCGAGGCATCCGGAATGGAGTATGCAAAAGGATGATGCTTCTCACACATGGGGGTGTGATTGCAAGGGTTCTTGGTGCAGAATCTAGCACACCTTGTCTGCCCCTGGAAAATGCCTGCTTGTGAGGTAGATTTGAAATTGGTAGAAGTCCGCAGACTCGTCTCTATAAAAGGTAGAGGGGACGCGCTAGCATCTTGTGACTGAAATAATTCAGAGTTCCCAACCCAGGGGCCTAGTGGGGGTGGGAGATGGGGGCGAACTCAAGATTGTTATTGATGCATTAATGTCTTTCTTTTGAGGTAGGTTTTGAAAATCAAATCATGGATCAGTTCAGATTTCTTCTTTCTCTTTAGACAATGTAAAATAATGGTCCAAAACCAGGTGGCAGTTTGTCATGCTCCCCATCTCTGCAAACATGTGGCATAAATAAGACCTCTCCAGCAGGCACCGCTCATGGATGCGGTTGGCTTGAGGTTCTGTAGGTTCCGAATGTGCTGCTGCTTAGGATGACCTCCAGAATTCGCATGTTTCCCACTCACTGCACCAGGGCGTAAAAGTCCATTCCTTGTAACGGCACTGAAAGTCAATTTTACTCAGACACGGATGTGAGTTTTTCACAGAGGAAACTCGGATTGCAGGAGTGAGTCGCTAAGCTTAAAGCTGCATCTGCTACTTTTTGTTTGTTTGACTCGTTTTCCCATCCCTGTAATTCTGCTGAGAATTGCAAATATTGTGTCTCGGTCCAAGATGGCTCTCCTTGACTGAACAGCACCCGTTGGTCCCAGAGACTTGTGATGGGAGGCCAAAGCAAAAGTCCACATGGTTCTTGACTAGAAAAGAGAAAGTCAATAAATGAACGTATAGGACCTGTGGGGCCAGTGAGTGCCTGAGAGACTCTCTGGAGCTTTGAAAAGTGGATTCATGAAGCGATTTCGATGCCTGTCTTTTCTGGACAAAGAGTTGAGTTTTTCCAAGTGGGAAAGAGGTCTTTAGTGTGAGAAGTTTTGTGCCGTTCTTGTGGCTATACATATCTGAGAACACACGATCCCTGATTACAGTATGATGTGGGACTCTTGGGAGTTTCTCTACGCCTGGCCTGGTCTGGCCTGCTTCCTAAGGCAGCGCTTGTAAATAGCCAAGGAGTCCCTGTTCTTTATAGAACATTGGTTGCATATTTGCAATGGAACCAGATGGCTACTGATAGGTTTCCAGGCACAAGATAGGTTCCCCACCCCACCGCCCCCCACACGAGGTGGAGCTAGAATATAAATTGAACTGGATTACTCAGACCCTCAAAGCGACAGCACATACTGATTTTCCTTTACCCAGGAGTTAGGCGTTGATTCCAAACCGGCCCTCGTGTGTGAGTGTAGAGAAAGGTCCTCTTATTTAGTTCATTGAAGAGAAACCTGCTGGCCACTTGGCTGACATTGTTTGAGTGGGACCCTTCTTCAATGTTGGTCATTCCGGCCGAACTTAATGTGTGCTGCTTGAAGTGACCTTCGATTGATAAAGAACCGGAAGCGTTTATTTATTTATATACCAAACTCCAAACTCATTGCCGCCGAGCCAATTCCAACTTGTAGGGACCGATAGGACAGGGTGGAACCGCCCCGAGGATTTCTGAGACTGGATGTAACTATACAGGAGGAGACCGCCTCATCTTTCTCCCGAGGAGCAGGCTGGTGGTTCCGAACTGCTGGACTTGATGTTAGTAGCCCAGCACATAAGCTTGCGGAAATGAGCGTGGTCATAAATAACTTGGGAAATAAATTGGGGGAGCGGGGGAGCAGCACAAGGAGTATGTGCTATACCATCGTGAAGCAGTTTTATATATATATAAAGTGTCTGGGGCAATGAATAGAACAATCAGATATAGATATATATATATCTGCTTTTGAAACATTAACCCGATATTGTCAAAAGAACAAAAGCAACTTAGAGCTCTTCCTAGAGCCCATTGTTGTGAAGTCAACTCCGACTCAGTAAGCCTGTGGGACAGAGCCAAACTGCCACTGTAGCGGTTCCATTCCAGGGCTGTAATCCAGTGTTCCTTTGAGATGCTTAAGGGTGACCAAAATCCTCTCTTTTCTGTTGCAGCCTGTGGAGAAGGCTACTGCCGAGAGGGAACGGGAAGCAGAGAGGGAAAGGGATCGCCACTCCCCCTTCAGCCAGAGGCACTTGCATACACATCACCACACCCACGTTGGCATGGGCTACCCACTCATCCCTGGTCAATATGACCCTTTTCAAGGTGAGCAGCTCTACCCGGGACTCTTCTGCCTTCATTTATTCTACTCTGCTAAAAGGGCCTTTGGTGTCTCGATGTAAAATCCTGAGCATTGAGTTAAGCTTAGCTCTGGGAGGGAGTTTGGGCAAGATTTCCTAAGGGCTCCGCTGAGGCGACCCCCACAACTTTGTGTTTTGCTGAGGCATGAAACAGCTACCACTTAATAATTGTCGCTGGGTGATGTTAGCAGCAGCTTGCTGTTGCCTCAGACTTTGGAGATGGTGGCCAGTGTCTGGGGCAGTGAATAGAACAATCAGAAGATCAGATAGCTGCTTCTGGGAAATTAACCGCGGAGGGCAGTGGGGGAGCACAGAGAGGGAGCCGGATGAAATTACCTGTCCAGATTTCTGCTCTGCCGACCACTTAAGTTGCTCTTTTCTCATGGTCCTATTAGAAGTCAAGTGATCAGGTTGAACACTTTTTACAGCCTATGGCAGGGTCTCTCACTCAGGGCTCTGACTAAACATCGCTTCTACACATGAAGGTCGAGAAAGAGAAACATTTTTCAAAAGCCATAGAATTCCCGTGAGGGAGCCATTCATTCGCAGTGTACTAGCTGAGCAAGTACCCTTTGGCCTGTCACCTCACAGAAAGTGGGTAGTGGCACTCTCGGTCTCACCAGCTAACACTTGCTAAGGTCTTGCCAAATTGTGTGACTCTCAGGTCAGCTAACAAATGTGAAGGGGCGTTGAAAGGAAAGAACATATATTAATCTGTGTACAAGGGGGCTTCAAAAGGTGTGTGGAAAAAAACCTCATCTTTTCATTCCAGTTTTCCCTAAACTTTTTGAAGCTCTTTATTGTTTTTATATTTGTGTATTTTAAAATTCAACTCATTTACTTATCGAATTCGTTCTACTGGGTGTCAGTTAACGGTGTTCAGAGCACGTGTCTCTATTTCCTAATGAGTTTGTTATTTTTGAGTGCGGGAAGAACTTGGAAAAGACATAAGGTGCTATTTGTAAGACATGCCATCTCTGTAACTAAAATGCAGATGAGGTGAGTCAAAAAGCATCGCAACTGGGGTTTGTCTGTACATGCATGGATTTATTAAAAATAACATTTTAAAGTCAGGTAAGCACTGGACTGCTGACAAGAAAGATGAGGCTTCCTGCTTCCATATAGATTTACAGAGCTTCCGGACACCCTCTGTAGCAGCAGTTCTCAACCTGTGGGTCTCGACCCCTTTAGGGGTGGAACGGCCCTTGCACAGGGGCTGCCGGATTCATAACAGTAGCAAAATCACAGTCATGAAGTAGCAAGGGAAATAATGTTATGGTTGGGGGGTCACCACAACATGAGAAACTGTATGAAAGGGTCATGACATTGGGAAAGTTGGGAACCACTGCTCTATAGGGTCGAGATGAGTCGAGTCAGAATCGATTTAGTGACTGAGATTTTTCAGTGATCAGTGGATGGTAGCAGACAAGTTCTCTCAAGTAATAGGCGTGTCTTAGTCTCATGCCCAAGAGCCCCATCCAAACTAGCTTCTGCGAGACTCGGCTGGGCCAGTGCCGTTCAGGGCAGAGTGGTCAGCTCAGAAGGTTACATACAGCAGCTACTTCAGGTGGGATTCCCATGGGAAAACCTCAACAGGTCTTCTCACGGGACACAAGATGACCATGGAGCTAATTAGGAAGAAGTTTAAAGAAAATGTGAAGCGGCATTGGTGAGGAAAAGGGACGTTATTGCAGCAAGACATTTTCCCCATCATGGCAATAGGCTTGTTTCTTTCTCAGGGTGGCAGGGGGCTCTCCTGGGAGAATTTTACTGGAAAACTGTACCCCGTCCACCCGACAGCCCTCATCTTGCCCCTTTGGACTTTTTTTGCACTGTCAAACTCAAAGACTATTGAAGAGGGGGACACAGCTTTGAGCCCCTGGAGGAGGCAGAGAGAGCTACTTTTGAGGCGTTTTGCCTAGAAGATTACGGGGCTCATGCAGGGAGGAGGAGAGCGGGATGGAGATGGTAACACCACCTCGGGAAGGGAGTGCCTTTAGATGGGAGGAGGAAGGATATGGCGGCCAACAAGAGCTTCACACCTCGGAGCTGTCCGTGTAATAAAGCTTTCTGTGGGTTTTAGCAAGGCTCTCGGACGGTCCCTCATGCATGGCAGTGTGCAGAATGCTGGCCACTCTCCAGATACTAGTCTTTGCACCGTAGTGCATTAAGTTGCCTCCGGACAAGACAAAATGTATTTCTAAGTGGACAGACAGCAAAGGCAGGGAGAGTGATCTCTTCTAGGTTGTCATTCATTTCCTCATCCTCAACATCCCCCACCCCCCCAAGGATTGCTTTCTATACGATTTAAAAGGAATTTCCTATGAGGCGACTTCATGTCATTTGGAGCTGTTTCATTCATGCTACCTTTCTCTTCCAGGGTGAAAAGTTAAGACTGTTGCTAAATTTAATCCACTGATTCCATGTACCTTATGGGGATGCACTATGTTCAGTCACTGGGGAAAAAATGTTAACGTGATGAAAGTTATTATGAGCATACTGTAGTCTAAGCAAATAGCATGCCACCTTTATAATTCACTGTGACTTTTGATTCCTGTTGTTACCTGGTACCCATTATGTCCCTAGAGCTTCCTATTCAGGAATGCATGCAAACTATTTAGCACCATGCGGAGCTGAGAGACAGAAATGCTATCTTCCCTTTGAATCGCTGTGGAGAACATGGCAGTGTCTTCCACAAGGGGGTAGAAATTAGGTAGAGGAAGCGCTTTTTGTACGCCTTCCTTGCTGCATGAAGCCTTTCACGTGTGTTTAGGAAAGGACAAATTGCTGCTTTGGGGACTGCAGTCCTCACCACTGGGCCTGTATCTGCTCTTATCTTTCTGAATGTCACAGACAGACACCCTGCATTTTCCCCCCCATTAGGCTTGACCTCTGCTGCCCTAGTTGCCTCTCAGCAGGTGGCTGCCCAGGCATCTGCCTCAGGAATGTTTCCTGCACAAAGAAGGTAAATGTTTCCCATCTCTGGGCCAGAGACATCTTAATGAGAGGAGGGGCGGCGGGCGGTGCGCGGGGGTGAGACGCAGCATATGTGTATCCTTTCTTAGACCAAAAAATTCAGCTCCTGAGGTTTGATGTCTTTGAAATGGATTTGCCTACTACCCTTCATGTGTAATTTAGAATCCACCAACCTCAACCAATTGGCTTTTTGTTTTGCTTTTAAACAATTGGGGTTGTCCTCACAGCTCCGTGGAAATGATTTACCATGACTCTTTGCTTTTCCCCTTTCTTTCTATTTAACAAGAAATTTGCACATAGAGAAATGGGTTTTGATCACGCTAGAGATAATGTTTATACTTTGATCATTTCTTTTGCTTTTAACCCACAGATAGTTTTAGAAAGAAAAAAAAATGTGTGTCTTAGTGGATTCTTTCCTTGTGCTTGATTCCGCCCTCTAGAATGGTGCTCAACAAAATAAGTCACATTAAAAGCTGTCCATCTGATGTTTTTCATGTTTTCTGCGTTTAATGTTGACAGACTCCTATGCTAAGGTTTTCTCTTTTTTTTGCAGAGAGTAACAAGATTGGAAATGTATGTTGTCATGTGACTGGATCACATGGAGAAGCGCTTTATACAGACATCAGTTCCATGGTGTTAATTTGAAATGCCTTAATGGCAGGCAAAAACCAGTCATTTCATTTTTGTAAATTACAGATTTTATCACAGAGTAACAAATGTTGCTGTAATTAAACTTCTGTTTTATATATATATACGTATACATATATGTATATATACATACATATATATATATATATATTCTTTACTTTTTTGTATCAGTAACCAGGCTCGCCACACAGGGTCTGCTGCCAAGTTGGAAACCACTCAGTAAAGGAAATAATTTAAAAAAAAAATGTATTTGTCATGTTGAAAAGTGTTAGCCACAAAAGGCTGTTTACTTTTTTCCCCCTTTTCCTTTTCAATTGTAAATAAATGATGTTCTGTATCAGTGTGCCTGATCCTTGCATATCCTTCAGCTATTCCTAGAAGCCCCTCAGAAAGGCTAACTGTGATGATGACACTTGGGTACAATGTAGATGTCTATTTGGTGGCTCCTGTTGAAGACGCATCCGTGTAAGCTGTTCCTGTAGTCTCTGTTCCCTCGTACTTGTGTATTGTGGACAATATACTTTTGGAAGGCATGGGGTTTGCCAGTACCACAAAAACTGTGTTGTATATAATGTAAAGATTAAAATGGGGAAATAATGAGCATCTGTGAATAATGAGGTGTCATTTCTTGATAAGCTTGAATGGCAAATAACCCAGTAGCCTGCGTACCAGAGACATCTGTGATTGTTCTATTACTTGAATAGTCCTGCGATCTTTTTTCCCCCTCCCCCTTTCTTTCCCTCCCTCCCTCTCACTCTCTCTTTTTTTTAATGTTTACAATTACCCAGTTTTAGAAGAAAGAGACTTTAACGCCATTGCCTGGTTACTTGTTTTATGCTGTAATCTAGTTTATTTTATGTAAAGTGTATATTGAATGCTTTCCTTTTTTTATACCTGCCTTAAATAATTTGGCAATCAGAATTAAAAAAGGTTGTTTTTTTTTTTGTAAAGGCTTCGTGTCTGTCTCGTGTTTTTTCTAGCTGAGTGGAAATGATCCTAATTTTCCAAGAGAGGTTTCTTAATATCATGAGTGTCCAGCATGGAAGATGAATGGTACACGGAGATTTTTTAAAATGTTCTTAAGGTCCATACTTAAGGGTATGGACTACTGTTCCATCCAAACATGGAACTAAACATCACCAGAAAATGGTAGCCAGAGGTCTCCGTGCCATTCCAAAGATGCAACTCTTGTGATAGTTGGACAGCGGATGGAATGTGTTTTTTTTAAAAAATCAGTCAAATAGCCATTAAGTTGGCTTACCAGAATATGTATGTCAAAAATGTAGATTTAATGACTTCATTAATTCATCTGTTCCAACACATTTTTACTGGGTGTCCATTTCATGGCTGGTTTATAGCAATGAATAAAGCAGACAAGATGCCCTGCCCTCACAGGGCTGAGCATGCAATAAAAAAGTATGTCGTCGTAGTTGCTGTTAGGTGCCATCTGGTCAGTTCCCACCCATGGAGGCCTTAGGCACAACAGAATGAAAGCGTGCCCCTGCCTGCACCAGCCTCACAGTTGTTCCTGTGCTTGAGCCCATTGTGTCCGTCCATCACCTCGAGGGGCTTCCTCTTGTTCTCTGGCTCTCTGTGTGTCCTCCAGGGACTGGTCTCTCCTGACAACATGTCCAAAGGAAGTAAGATGAGGTCTTGCCTTCAGTCCTGGCCTCTAAGGAGCACTCTGGCTGCACTTCCAAGACACAGCGGTTTGTGCTTTCTGCAGTCCTGGTCTTTGCAGTATTCTCCGCCAGCACCATGATGCCAGTACACCCACCATTCTTCCGTCTTCCTTATTCAATGTCCAACTGTCACATGCCAGGCACACCTGAGTCCTCAAAGTAACATCCTTGCTTTTCAACACTCTAAAGACGTCTTTTGTAGCAGATTTACGAAATTCAATTCATCTTTTAGTCTCTTGGCTGCTGCTTGCATGAGGGTTGATTGTGGATCCAAGCAAGATACAATCCTGACGACATCAACCTTTTCTCCATTTTTCATGATATGTCACCCAGTGGTCCAGCTGTGAGCGTTTTGGTCTCCCCTACATAATCCACACTGGAGGCTGCAATCCTTGATCATCAGCAAGTGCTTCAAGGCTTCCTGGCTTTGAGCAAGCAAGGTTGTGTTAGCTGCATATCAAAGGTTAATAAGCTTTTCCCCCATCCTGATGCCACATTCTTCCTCATATAAGCCAGCATCTCTGATGATCTGCTCAGCAGACGAATCAAGTAAGTACGGTGAGAGGCTACAACCCTGATGCACGCATTTCCTAATTTCAAACCCTGCAGTAGTCCCTTGTTCCCTTCACACAGCTACCTCTTGATCTATGTACGAGATCCTCATGAACACATGAAGTGTTTTGGAATTCCCATTCTCAAAGTTATCCATATATTTGTTGTGAACCAAACAGTCAAATGCTTTGGCATAGTCAGTAAAGCACACGTAAATATCTTTCTGGTAGTCTCTGCATGGATCCAAGATCCATCTGACATCAGCAATTTTCTATCTTATTCCGAGTTCTCTTCTGAAGCCAGCCTGAACCTCTGGCAGCAGTCCATGCCCTGCTGCAACCGTTGTATGATCTTTAGCAATTTTTTTTGCATTTGATGATGACATTTGTTTGCATTGCTCTATAATTTGAGCGTTCTGTTGGGTCACCTTCATAAGTAAAATATAGAGTAGGTTTGAAAGTTGATAAATGCTGCAGAAGGAAGTCCAACGGAGAAGGGGACATAGGGCATAGCAGGGTGCTTCAAAAAAGCTTGTAAAGAGGGAGAATGCAAGGGTAGTAGAAAATGTCCAAGACACTTTGAAGTCCCCTCATCTGGATGGGAGCTTGTAACAATCCATAGAGCCATCAGGACAAAAGTTGTTGAAGGAGGTGGGGAAACGGTTGATGTTCCTCTCCTAGGGCTGCCATGACAGATGACCGCCACTGGAACAGGAGTGCTGGTGGCATGTGCTCGCCCTGGCTGTAACCAGAGGGTCTGCAGTTGGAAACTGCCAACTGCTCCACAGCAATAAGTCTCAAAACCCCACAGGGGCAATTGGATCCTAAGCTATACGGTTGGCATTGGCTCAGCAGTGAGATAGGGATTAAAACAACAAAAAGGTATTGTTTTTTGTCTACTAGAATCTAGGACAGCAGTTCTCAACCTGTGGGTTGTGACCCCTTTGGGGGTCAAACAACCCTTTCACAGGGGTTGCTCGATTCATAACAGTAGCAAAATGACAGTTTTGAAATAGCGATGATGTTATGGTTGGGGGGTCACCACAGCATGAGGAACTGTATTAAAGGGTGGCAGCATTAGCAAGGTTGAGAACCACTGGTCCAGGAGAAGATTTCTTCTGGTCACCATAGGTTTCTTCTGGTTTGTGGCAGCATAACTTCTACCTCTATCTTCACATGGTCTTGCTTCGGTGTTTGTATGGCTCTCCACTTTGTAAGGACACCCGGTCATTAGATTCAGGTCCTCAGGACTCCAACCCGACCTTGTGTTAACTAGAATATCTACAAAGACTGAAGAGCGCCTCTCAAAGTTCGTGGACGAAGTGAAATTGTTCTGCGAACTGTATTGGAGCTTCCTCGTATTCTAAATAAAGCCGCATGTGGCACAGGTGACCAGCCGGTCGGAAGTCAGTGTATGTTTTGGGATGCATCTCATAACATGACCCCCTCAAAATATGTGGAAGAGTGGTGTTTCACATAGCTGAAAATATGAGTGCAAGGGTTCTTAAGTGGGAATGTGCCTGATGTGTTTAGACGGCAGGCATACCTCAGAGATGCACAGTGAAATGCAGTGTGTGAATCCTCTAGATTTCCTCTCACTCAAAACTCCTCGCCCTCAAGTCCATGCCGAGCCGTGGCAACCCTCGAGGACAGGCTAAGCTGGCCCCGTGTGTTTCCACGACTGTGACTCGGTCACGATTTCCTAGTACATACATGAAAGTTGCTTATACTCACTGCAGGCTATTAAGTGTATACTAACATTTCGAAAAGGTTTTGACTTCTTGTTATTACCAAAATGTGCTACAAAAGCTCACAAGGAACACATGCTGTTGACAAAATGGTACCAGTAAGGAGACTGGTTGCATGCCAGGTTGACCCAAAGCTTCCATTTGTGGCGGGAGTCGGGGAGCCACACACCATCTGGGAAGGCAAGGCCTGCCTATAAATACTAATGAACGGTCTGCTTGGCTTGCTGAAAAGTTGATAGAATTGGTCTAACTATCATTTGTTTTGTTCTAATAACATACATGAAGCATATGTTGTTAACTGCGTTAACAGTTCTGCATCTGAATGTTGTAAACTAAAAGCAACGTCCCCATTATGCTGAGTGAAGTTAGTCGATTACAAAAGGACAAACATTGTTGGAGACCACTACTAAAAAGATGAAAACAAAGGAAAAACTTGCACACCCAAGGAGGTAGCGCCCTGGTGGCATAGTGGTTACGGAATTAGACTGCTTGCTAACTGCAAGTTCGCCAGTTGGAAACCAGACGGGGCTTTCAACTGCTGTAAAGCGTCCCAGTCTTGGAAACTCACAGCAGCAGTTCTACCCTGTCCTGTAGCGTCACTGTGGCAGTTCAGTTTGGTTTTCTGGAAGAGAGGCGGGGCAAGGATGGGAAGATGAAGCAATGGATGAGGAGGTCGGCCGAAGATGGAGGATCCAAAAGAGAGAGGAGAGAAATTGAAGGCGAGGGGTGGGGTCGAATATAGGAAAGGGTATGCACTGGTGACTGGTTTGAACTATTGAATGCAGAGTTGATGGTCTGAAATGTAGCGCACACACAGTTGATTCACAATAAGCAATTCATTAAATATATATATATATATACATATATATCCGTCTTGACAGACCACCTTAAACTGTCTCATCTGCCGCTAGTCTGATAGACTTAGTCTATCTCCTTAATAGATCCTAATTAGGACCTTCTTAATAGATCCTAATTTTTCTCCTAATTTTCAATTCATTTTTCTTTGAAATTCTCTGTCTGTGACACTGCAAGTAGCATCATTTAGCGTGGTGATTCCTGGACATGAGAGCGTTTCACACACTTTGCATCATTATTTTGTAAAGCTCTCCATTTCCTTATGTCCATACACCACATCTTGATAGACCTTTGGAGACTTAACAATTGCACTGGAGACACACCCGTTGAACAAGTCTGCTTCCCCTTGAGAGTATGGCTTCTCCACCTGGGCCCGCTGTTTACTGGCTGCCTGCCTGCACCGTTCTGGCCTCAGTTCACCCGGCCTTAGTGTGGAGACGGGAGCAGAACGAAGGTCCACTTACAGCTTCCCCACTTGAATGATCACGTTTCTGTTGGGGAGTGGGAGATGTGGTAAATTACTGATGGTCCCCCAGCTTTTAGTAATAGATATTTAATAAAACACAGTAAAACCAAGCTTACCTTTCAGTTGTAAGATGACCAGGGGTATGTTTATGATATGTCAGGCTTTTAATCACTTCTAGTTAGGCAGTTAAGTAGCTAGGGTTACAAATAGGTGCATTAGACCATGCTTAACTCTGCTGTTGTAATAAACAGGATTGCTGATAAACACAGAAAGATACGTGGCCAAAAGCACAATGCGATTTGAGAAGTTTTTCCCGTAGGCTTTTACGGGAACATAATTCATGACTGGTTTACATGAATCATTAAATGAAGTTTCGTTTCTTCCCTTTACTGTTACGTGTTGTCTTTGCCGATGACAACATGAATTGCCAAAGGCCAGAGCTTGTTTATCTGATGTGTGCGGCTCCTCTGATGGAGGCCACAGTCCGTACCGAATGGTAAATTGAAGATTCCCATAAGACAAGCGCGCTTGGCTCCATTACATTACTATGATGAATCTGCCGTTAATACGGTTCTAATTGTTTGACTTTTATAGACATAAAATCAGTCCCCTTAGTGACTAATAATAGGGTTTATTGATTTT